AGTTTTGATTACTCCACGCTTTTACAAAATTAAACGTAATTTATTCACTTTTCTTCTTCTGAGATATTCTAAAAATATTTAATAAATAGGCATCTAATATTATTTGTCGTCTTCTATAATAAAAAATAAATTATTGCAAAGCCGTTCTCGTATTTTCATTGTTTAACAGTCAATATGAAGCGCTAGTTCAAATAAGGTCCAGCTGCATGATTGTTTCCTAAAAATAAGCATGGATGCGTCCTTGCTCCGCGCCTTTTTTTTAAATGTCTTAAAAGACATTTAATTATTAATTATCTAGCTCATTTTTATCGTCATGTCGACCATTTGTCCTTTAGTGTACTTATTGGTACTTTTTTGGCACTCGCAAACTCTGCTGCAGTTTTATGTGAAGAAAATTTCAAGATCAATTTCAAAATCATGAAAGTTAAATGAATCTGAATGGCTTTCGCGCGTTTTTTTTTTTTTTTTTTTTCATCACCATGTCGCAACTATCGACTACGCTTTTTATGTTTTCTTTTAAATTTAGTCATTCAAGCCGTTAAATTGGAGCTCTAAGCGATATATGTAATAGTTAACCTATAATTCAAGGAAAATAAATTCACCATTTACAAATATATGGGATACAGATGTTGGTGAGATGTACACACACTGGACAATAGAAGNATCTGAATGGCTTTCGCGCGTTTTTTTTTTTTTTTTTTTTCATCACCATGTCGCAACTATCGACTACGCTTTTATGTTTTCTTTTAAATTTAGTCATTCAAGCCGTTAAATTGGAGCTCTAAGCGATATATGTAATAGTTAACCTATAATTCAAGGAAAATAAATTCACCATTTACAAATATATGGGATACAGATGTTGGTGAGATGTACACACACTGGACAATAGAAGTGTCACCCCTACTGAACCAATACTTCGGGGGAGATAAATGACTGTGGAATGATATGCCCCTGGATTTTATTAACATCAATTTTCACAAGAGAATCGGTTCTGACTGAACAATTCAACTGTATCGATATTCTGACATTGCTTACATTCCGCCTGTTCAGGTTAATAACTTTGATTACTCTGATTCAGCGGGTGACACTTCTATTGTCCAGTGTGTGTATATTAAAAAAGTTTAATAAACCCATTCATTTCAGTCCCGTAGACAGCAATTTCAAAAGGGGGTTCTTTTTCTGAAAAAGCAGATCTTTTGCCATGAATCCTTTGTGTACCCAGGTAAAATTTTACCAAGAGGGGACCTTTTTTCCGACAAAAGAGGTGTTCTTTCAAACCCCCGAACCTCCCCTCTGGCTACGGACCTGCATTTACAGGTTCATGTAGCCAGTAAATTTCTTTTCAAATCGGTGTGTTGTGATTGCCTAAAGAATTCCGAGTAAGGAGTCGAGCTGAAATATTTTGGATGCGTTGGGGTTGCTCTGTTCTTACTAAGCTGCGACCATAGAGCAAGAGGCTACAACATTCAAGCCTTGAAGTTACTAGGACATGGATGAAATGTGGCGGCGGCATAGTCGGTTAGATTGGTAAGCAGACTGCTAATGTTTCTGATATGATATATGCACGTTTTTTACATTGGCTATTCCTTTATCCATGGTTAAGGTACAAATGTAGTATCAAAGTAAACGTTCTATAATTAAATTCAAAAGGTTGAGTTCGGTTATTACATGTATTACCATAGCACAATAAATTCGAGTACTTAAAATAATTTTAAAAAAACAATCAAAAATAGTCTAGGCTCTATTTCTAAAGTGATGATGGCTAGAGTACACTCAGATAAATCGCTTATACATGTATTTAGCTGATCACCCAGTGATTAAGCTGAGATTGTCTTAGAATATATTAACAAACAAGAAGAAGAGCAAATAAGTTACATGCATAAAAAAATCATGAGGAAATAATTCCTAAAAGTGAAAGTTATTAATGTAACCTTCACAAAAACACAATTTTGACCTTGATGACGTAAACATGCATTATAAGGAACAAGCGTTATGTAGGATAAGGATATAAAATAAATAACTGTTGAAATAAGCTTTATATTGATATGCAACATGTTGGTATATTTCGTCGGGTTAAGAAGATGGTGACGCACCTGACTCAACCTGACTCAACCTTTAACTTGCTGACCCTGCGTTTATTGCATTTCTGAAAACAGATTTAGTTATCTTGTTCGTGGCTGGTACCACCATGGCACTGTATGGTTCCATGGTACCACTGAATAGTGAATATCGCTGCCGCAGTCGTGTCCTAGCTGCTGGAGAAACATTTACATGTACGTGAATGCGAAATAATTGTTTATCTTATCGGGAGAGAACCACCCTGAGCTTCAGAGATACCTTGAAACAAACCTCTAAACCAAAGCAACCCTTGCCGTTTCAAGTGCGGAAGTTTGTTTCAAGTTAAAACTCAGGGTAGAAAGAACATTTGGCAATAGTAATGTGGGCGGAAATTCAGTTGAATCCAAAACACAGCGCGTCCAATTTCATAGTATACCCCTGCTGTCACATGATAAAAGAGGATAGGAAATGGAAGTTACTTTAAAAGCATTTGTAGCACTAAACTGAGAATCATTTTCGCTCCCAACAAAACAGTTTTGGACAGTTTGTGAGAAAATCGACTGAGGTAAGTCTTATTTATATATTTTTTGCTTGAATATTTCATTTGGAATTACTGATCAAACCAGTTGTTAAAGGTACATACGAACCGAGCATCNCTGCCTTGTTAATATAAAATTTTGATATTTTTTTAATTTTATTGCATGATAACTCAAGTCATTGAATCAATTAAAGATTTATTTACTCATACAGCATAACATTATTTGTCAAGTCCAAACCACAATAAATTATTGCTCAGGCAAAAAATATGATATCCTTTCAGCATCAGGTATTTACAGCAGCAAAAATATTAGTTTGAAATCAGATATGGTTATGGTTAAAGGTGTCACCTTCATATTTTAAGTACAATTACAACACTATCATTATAGTCTTAAAACTTATGCAACTTCCCAATAGCCAAATAAAAAGAGAAATGTAATTATAACTTACAAGGAATAATAGTTCAACTACAAACCATTTGATTTTCAGTTCTTATCTTAATTTTGAGAATAAATCTTTTCTTTAAAGAACAGGTGTCATTTAGGAAATGCACATTAAGTATATTTTTATGATACAAAACAAAATATCAGTTCTTCCTGGTGTTACAGGCAGCTCTCTGATTATTTCCATAACTCATTTAATATCCTTAAAATGAATATTTCTAAATATGGGCTACTTCACACAGGGGCAGATTTGTTTTCTGGGTCTTTTGGAAGACGGTCAAATTTTCAAGTTTACATTGAGGGTTATCTATTTCTTCCTATTGGAAGCCAGTCAAAAAATGCAGGATGGATTAACAAATATAATATGAAAGACTGTCAGAAAATATCTTTGGATCCGCCTCTTTCACATATCACAAACTGTTCCTTTTGCTTCTGTCTTTTCTGTCATTTTCACTTCCGAGTATTTCATTGTTTTAAGATATAAAAAGTTTTTTTTAACAGGGTGGGTATTTTATTTTTATTCTTTATTCTTTATGAAACTGTTGTAATTATATTTTGTCATTAATGATGTAAAAACTAAATATTTAATTACAAACAATCTCTGTCAGTGTTGGATTTATATATCAATATATACCATTTTCTTTGAAATATTAGAATGACAGTAAACTGAAAATTGTTCAGTTTCTGAGCATTTTAAAGGTATTGAAATACTTTCACTTTCCCATTCCCTTGAGTCACAACCAAATCTCCATCTTGATTGATGGTACATCCCCATGGGTTTTCTAGTCCATCAGCTTTGGTTGCTATGTAATGGATGAACTTCCCATCTGGGGATACAAGGTGTATGCAGTGGTTATCATAATCTGTAACCAGTATGTTGTCATAAGCATCAACACAGACACCATCAATGTCACCTAACTTGTTATCAGGTCCTGTGTACTGATACAGTGGGTCACCAGATGGGGTTAGGATGTGAAGTTTGTTTGGTCTTTCATCACTAACAGCAAGGCACCCATTGCTCATATATGCCACTTTATATGGTGAATTGAACAACTGCTCCCCATCTTTGTCCTTTATCACATCAGTTAAAGTTATTTTCCCTTTGATATCAATACTGAACACACTCACAGACTTTTCTGTAAACTGTGCCACAGCAATCTTAGTACAACTGTTATTGAGAGCCACACCTTGTGGGCTGCTGACATCTACAGTTTGCTGTACTTCCCAATGTGGTGACTGGATGAACAGTTTGTTATTGTCTGCATCAGATAGAACCATCCTTCCATCAGGGAAGTGACAGATCCCTACTGGACATTTCAGCTGTGTGTCTGAGACCCTTGTGATCTTTTTCCTTAATGTACCATCCGATCTTAAAACCTTGACCTTGTTTTGTGCAGTAACATACGATGCATGTGTAGTAACATACTCCCTGTTTGGACTCACTGAAATGTCCACTAGATTCCCACTGCCAGTGTTAAACTCCAGCATACATACAGCCTGTGGTTTGAACTTGGGCAAAGCTGGTTGTCTAGATATCTGCACATTTCCCAGGCCAGCCCCACTGGATATCTCTTGGTCCACTTTTTTATTAGTGGTTAGTGTGAGGTGTATTTCTTCAGGAATTTCTTCCACAGCTGAAGTGGACTGTAGCTCATCTAGTCTCTGTCCAAGTTGGTGTTGTAACATGAGGACATCTATGGGGGCACCATGCTGAAGGATGTTCTTTACTACATCTGTTGTGGTTTTGATAGAGGAGCAAGTGGCACTGCAGTTGTCATAGGAAGTTTGTAAATTCTTTCTGTGAGTGCTGCTGGTTTTGTGAAGCTCTTGTAGTAAGGTCTGCTCTTGTTGATCTAGTAGTTGACGTATTTTAGCTGCATGAGCTTTTATCTGCTGCTGAACAGAGCTTTCATTTTCTAGGAATGTTGCCAGTGTGTTATCAATGTTAAGTAATGTTTTTTCTCCTGTTGCTAATTTTCTTTCAAGGTAATGACATTTGTTCCTAAGTTGTGGCTTAACCATCTCTGCAGCTTTTTCAAGGGAGATAAGTTTGTGACCATCATGGTGTAGATCTTTGCAGTCACGACAGATGGGGACATTGCAGTCTGAACAAAAGTATCGTATCATCTCACCTTTGTGCTCTGGGCAGATAATCTTTTGCTGCTCTTTGATTTCTTTTTGATACTCACTGCTGTGAAGTTGTTGAAAAGTGAGTACCCTGTGATCTTTAGTGAGTGTGCTACCACAGTGGAATGGAGAACATCTCTCACATAGGTAGTCATGGCAGGTGATACATTTTGAAGTAGCCACCGTTTCAGTTTGGGACACCAAAGAACAAAAGGTACACTTTTTCTTATGTGTTGACTGAAGTACAGTGTCCTGCAAGCTTTCAATGAAGAGATTGTGAGTGAAGCCCTCAAGTCCATCTTTAGTAACTTCAGTTTCTTTCTGACACACGGGACATCTGAATTTACTTCCTGGTGTTATGTCAGGAATATAGTCCTTCAGACAACCCTTACAAAATGTATGCCTACATGGTAAATCTGTCGGGTCCTTATACTCCTCAAGGCATAATGGACAGCTGACAAAATATTCAGTTATTTTGGCCCGTAGGCTTTCTTCTTCATCTCTGTCATCACGAGCTGTAGCCATCTTGGGGGCATGTAGCAAACTGTTTTATGTAGAGCAGTTATCTCTTTTCAGCAGTAAACTAGTTGGGGAGAATGGCCTATGAATGTGTGTTCAGCAGAGTTATAACAGTTATCTTATCAGTGACTCAGTTGTCTCTCGTCTAAGGCCACAGCAGTTTATTTTTGCATTTCACTATGTATTAGGAGTCAAGAATGTGTTTATCTTTATTTCACCAGTAAAGATTTTGGTCACTGGAGTAGGTAGGCAGTTCAGGTTCAGGCCGGTAGCCATTGGGGTTTGGGGGGCTAGAAACTGCCACTTAATGTATTTATTGAAAACTTTGCCTTTGATAACCTTAACATGCTCCATCAGAAGTTTAATGCCCAAAATTTCTGATGCCAACTCTTCTTCTCAGGCATTTCTAGAGAGAATCAATAAAAGAAAAGAGGTGAGCATCCATTATACTTTGACTTGTATTTATCCAACGTTAACATGAAGTAAATGCCTACTCAGATTATTATGAAAATACAGCTTATGAGTCGACCAATAGGTGGGGTTGGTGGAGCAGGGGTTGCCCAGCTAATTATATCATGCATACATACCCAGTAAAGTAAGATGAACATTTCTTTTCTACATGTGCCATGTTTTTTAAGAAAAAAATCATGGCGTGCCAGTTAGTTTCTTTTTTACTTTTTATTTCAAAGCTTTGCCCATTACTTTCATTTCAGTTTGGTACAATAGTACGTCTGACCTTTGGCCACAGCACTGACCCTCCCATTGATGACCTCAGAGTGGACACCCAGACCTGGATGAACAGAGTCATCAACAACGTGACAGGTAAGATGACAGGTAACATGATAAGGTGTCAGGTGACATGAGAATGGAGCAGGTAATATGTCAGGGTGACATAACAGTGTGACAGGGACACGACAATGTAACATGACAGGTAACGTGACAGTGGGACAGGTAATGTGACAGTATGACAGATTATGTGACAGTGTGACAGGTAACATGACAGTATGACAGATTATGTGACAATGTCACAGGTGACATGACAGTGAGACAGGTAACGTGACAGTATGACAGGTAATGTGACAGTGTGACGCGTACCGTAATGTCAATTAACACCTTTCCTTTCCCAAGTCTCTTTTAAATTAGTCAAATTACTTTATCTAGTTTGATTTGAATTCCTTTTAAATGATAGGTTTTTTCCCAAGTTTTGTCTCACTTTTTTAAATTAATTAATTAATTAATTAATTAATTAATTAATTTGTTATTTTAGCAGAAGATAGCATAGTCAAACTGTCAGGCAGCACAGACTATCACAACTTCCTCCTGTTGTCTGCAGAGGACAGGTCATCCTGTAGCCACTCAGCAGACGACACTCTTAATATGGACCATTGCTTTGCTTACTTGATGAAAAAACCTGCAGACATCAATGGAGCAATTGTAGACGATTTAATTAAAATAGACAGGCAGATGAATCGCAAGCAGAATGAAGATAACAAAGCTAAGGAAAAAATATCAGATACTTTAGGGACTGAAATAAACTTTGCAAATGCATTAAGGAAAAGTGGAATTATTCAAGATGTCAGAAAAGTGGCTGGTAAAAGTTCCCAGACAGGAAGAGGAATTACCCACAATGTCAAGACACCAGATAATGAAAGTGAAAGCAAAACTGGGTCATACTGGTTGATTTCACCTGAAATTGAACAACATGTGAAAGAATTGTTATCGGGGCAGCCCAAGTATTCTCCGGATTCACTGGTCAAAATTGAAACCAAGATAGCGGATGCACAGGCTTCAGTGTTGAACCAGTGGATAGGTGAGGAATGGCAGACCCAGATTTGGGGGGAGGGGCAAGGATGAAAAATTATGCCATATTTGCTCAGCAATTCTGAAATAATATAATTGGAAACTGATATAAGGAGACCATGAACAAAGTGTCAAAAATATTGTGCCAGTAAAAATAAAGTAAAAATGTAGACTCGTAGTGATTAGTATCGTATGTTCATGACAAAATGAAATTTAAAATACTTGGTGTAATTCATGACTTGAAATTTTGATAAATTGGAACACATATTTATAGTAACATGAACATTGATAAAAGGAACAATTGTTGTAGACACATATTATAAAAATATGTTATTGCAGTATATTTCCCAAGAATTTGGTCTTGATCGAATAACAAAATCTCTTCATTCTGTTCCAGAGTTCAGACAAGCAGAAGGACAGTCAACAAAAATGGCTTATTCCGAGCTGTTACAGCTGCTCTCTGAAGTGAGAAAACAGTGTCTCAGTATTATCAGCCAGCAGTGTGTCTTCCCCAGGACAAGTATTAAAGATGTGAAACTTCTTCCCAAAGACTCATTCTCAGGTAATTTTATTAATAACCACTCTATATGATTACTATAAGCTCATTGCAGGAAACTATTTTTACAATCAAATAACAAATTACCATGGCCCTGGAAGGAACTAAAGATTATAGTGAGATTAGATTTATTATAATGTTAGACCAACATTTGTATTATGATAACAGGTTTCTCTTTTGATTTTATTTAATTGAAGCCATTTGAAAGTGAATGAAGATTGTCTTCTCCTCTGCAAGTAACTTTTTTTGTCCAATTTGCAGACCCTTAGCAAAATCTCTTGCAAATTAGCTGCAAATTAGCAAGAACATGAATCCATTCATGCAAACTAACTGGAAAGGTAAGATGTTCTAGCAAGTTTGCTGCAAATAAGCAGCAAGACAATTTTTTGGCAAACAGGTTGCCACAAACTTTTAATTTGCTGCAATATTGCTGCAAACTTTTCATTTTTTTCTAAAGGGGAATTGTATTGTTTCAGAGTTGGCTGTGGAACCAGACCAGTGGTTAGAGAGAGAAGCTCTGCTCCATGTTGAAGACACTGTGAAGAAGATCCAGAGATACAAGTCTACAGACAGTCTGGGGGGACTCATGCCACCTGCCAAAGATGACTGTAAGGCCCCATTTTGAATTGGGGACTAACTAGTCCGAGGGTCAAATATGGCAACCCACTTCAATACTTCCCCACAGGAAAGTGTCTATTAGTGGAATAGACGGCAAGCTTTGTCGTGGGTTGCCATATTTGACCCTCGGACTGATTAGTCCACTAGTGGCTTGGTTTCTAATCTAAGCTCAAGTCAGCATATTTGTAGTTGTAATGATACACATGTTTTATTGAGCGCTAAATATAACACTGTCACAGTTACTTTTACGAGCTCTGGTGTCTTTAAAGTATTTGTTTATTTATTTATATGTGTAAATATAAAAATATATGTTTTCTATTATTATTATTATTATTATTATTATTTTGTGCAAGTAGAATATATGAGTGGTACAAATATGAAAAAAATGTTTTACCAAATGGCAAAAAAAAAAAAATTAAATATGGGATATCATGTTTGGAAGGACAGGCACATACGGTACTTCTATTTTATTTGCAGCTGTGACATTAGATGTGAGTGAATTCCTGAAATATTTCAAGGCAGATGGCAGCAGTGTAGCAGACAACCTGAAGCCAGTACATTTTGTGAGTAAATATTTTTTTCAGGAAAGTTCATTTATTTATTTATTTATTTATTTATTTATTTATTTATTTTCAAACTCATTTTGGTCTTGTAGTGTATCTCTTATTTTACGTTTATGTTTCAATTTGTAAATTTTATTTTAATTCATTTTATGTACAGCTTCATCCTTTTGGTTGCTATGTTCTTTACTAATCTTTTTATTTATTTATCTTTTTATTTATTTATTTATTTATTTATTTATTTATTTATTTATTTATCACATTGGTTTTAAACTGTCAGGCTGTTCCAAGTATGATTACAAATATTTAACTTCACAGAATACTTTCAACTGAGGTCCCATCATGTCCATATTTGTTGTAGTCAAATCTACGGTAATTTTCTTTTTGGGAGGATGGGTATAAATATTTTGCTAAGTGTGATATATTAACTTGTACCTATATGTTATCTCAGGGTAGAAGTAAGCAGTCACACCAGGTGGACGGGTCACTCGACCCTGACGCAGTGTCCACTATGAGGTGGCCGGAGGTGAAGAGGAGATGTTACCATGATATGTAGTCAGTATATCATCAATATTGAATATGTCCTTTGTATAGATTATTCCCTGCAATTTGACACCTTGATCTTTGTTAATCATGTGAACAAATCTTTCGGAATAATTTTTGTATTATGTAGCTGATATATCATCAAAATTGAATGTATGGCGACGACTCCATCGTTTTGATGTGGAAAATTGTGAATTTTAAAGATACTGTATTTTATAAGTCGTTGTTTCTTGAAGAAAAAACATTCCTATTAAGTGGTATTAACAAAATTAAAGAGCAGGCTTTTATGGGTCTATTCTATGTCTATGTAGTAAAAGTGATCAGTATATTACAAATATATTCCAATATTGAATATTGTACAGTAGATTCCCCATCTAACACATTGAGTATTGTTTAGTGTAAACAAATCTTTGGGAATAACTTAATTTATATCAGATGAGAAGTAGTTACATTAAACCTGACTAAAATCTTTATATAATTTTAAAAAAAATGATCCTCTTTGGAAATGTCTGAGAAATGCCAAGTATTCTGTAACAAGCCAAACAATGAAGGACTTAAAGGGTTTCTAAGTACATGGATTGCTTCTATTTAATAGAAGAAATTGTCATAAAGACCTTCATTAGAGCAAAAGCTCATGGGAAGATACCGTACTGTTTTTTTTGTGACAGAATTGTTGTTCCTTTTCTGGCTAGTATCACAAATTGAATTTGTATCTACTAGAAGAGTATAAATATTCTCTAGTGCCTTATTTACAGTTACAACAATGATGACACCACAGCAGAGAGGAAAGAACAGAAAGCAAATCGTATTCGGAGCAGATATATTGGGAATGAAACCGGGTCAACGTGCAATGTCCATCAGAGAAGTCAACCAGTCACCATAGCTCAACTGACCAATGCAGCTAAGAGAGAGAAAGAAAGAGACTTGAAGGAGCAAGAAAAGTTATCAAATGATGTCGCCAAGAAAGGGAAAAGAAAGCGAATTGGAGAATCTACTCCTAGTGTGAATAGAAATAGTCTACAGTCAGTTAGACAGTCTGCAAGAAAGAGCAAAGATGGCGCCTCCTTGGAAGATCCTGTGCAGATGTCTGCCAGAAATAGAAAGATACTTGTTCCAGTAAAAGCAGCTGAAAGAAAGAAGGCTGTGAATCAACCAAAGGATGCAAGAAGGTATTTTAAGTGCATTTGCACCAAATTTAGTTTAAGGTCTTTTTTGAGCTTATAGCAATCAAAAATTAAAGGGAGAAATGTTAATCAATTTTTGACTGTTACTAGTTATGAATACCTTTAATAGTTAAAATATACTGTGCAGTCAAATTACACATACCATTTTATTGATAAAATTTGTGTCTCTTGAATAATAAAAGGTCAATTATATTTCTTTAGTGTTGAAAATTGCTTATACCAGGTTGAATTTAGTAATAGGATAATTATGAGACCTGATAATTTTGTCATTTTTCAGAGGAGATTGTGGTAGAGAAGAGATAGCAGCACAATTCAAGATGTCTGCCAAAGCCCAGTCATCATCCCAGCCAGCCAGTAGAGAGTCCAGATCAGAGAGACACAGGCGGGTTAGAAATGTTTTTTTTCCCCATTTCTTCGTGTTAATCAAAATAATTTACAATACTAGTCGGTAAAATTTGGACATCTAGTCAGAAATTTAAGTTTTGGAACCTGTTTGCAAAAATAACTAAATAAATAGATAATAAATAAAATGAATACAATTATAATTGTATATTTAGAAAAATGAATAAAATATCTGTTACTTCCTATGCATCACATTATCTGAGTACTTCAGTAGATAAAAATTAATAGAAACGAAAAAAATGACCTAGATTTTTGACTTTCATTGCTAACATGTTCCTTCGTGCTGTTTTCAAAACAAAGTATTTTGTTTGAAAAGCAGTGAAGTTTAGGTGGTTTCTAAGTAGTTCTCACTTGCAGTCTCTTTAAGGATAAATATGTCAAAAAATGCAACATCTTTATACCTGTCCAAATCTCATGATGACCACCTGTGGAAAAAGTTATTTTAATGATGTTCATTTTTCCATTTCACTTATTCACCTAGAAACTGGAGGAGATTGTCACAGCCACTCTGGTAGCCAATGGTATAACAACTGACCACTCTCTTTATACGTCCTGCAAGACACGGCTTTATAAACTGACCAAGATGTATGTTATGGTGAGTACTGACCACTGACAACATCATTGACCACTGTTTAATATTTGTGAACAATCTGTGGGAGATTTAGTTAATTAAGTGCTTGTTGGAGTTGACATAAACCATTGCATTTCAGAGTTTGAATTAATTCGTGAATATGAACCATGTTTACCCATATTTTCTCCAAATTTCACTTCTTATTGCCTCTTTGCCATAGCTTTATAAGCAATTTTAAAAATATGTCAGCGAGTTTCATATAGAACAAGGCTGTATCTTGTGAGCTGTCCATCTCTAATGCAGCATAATTTCTGATTCTTATAAAAAGTCCAGCTGATTTATTGAACCCCAATAAATAATAAGTTGATGGTTGGATTTTTATGTCACATAATTATTGTTTACAATACTGCCAGTTTTTTATTAATTAATTAAAAGAGATGTTCTTCTCTTTTTGGTATTACAAAGATGTTTATATTTTCTGTCACTCTTATCAACATTATGCTTTTTAGTTTTAAAGATGTTTTATTTTACAGTTTGTTATGTTAACATTTTTATGTTTTTTTTTTTTTCAGGATCTAACTACTTCAAGAAATCTGAAGGAAGAAATGAAGAAAATTGCAGAAGATCACGTAAAACAGGTGATTTATTTTATTTTATTTTATTATTTTATTATTATTATTATTATTATTTTTTTTTTTTTTTGAAATTACATATGGAGGGAATTCTATGTGCATCAGAAAATATTGGCAATAATTCATATGATAATAAAAAACTTTTCATTGAGTCAGCTTGCATTTTAATTTGACTGATTCTTGTCAAAATTCATGGAATGTGGTATGTGCACTTGGCCCGTTTTCTAAAATTTTAAATCACCTTTTGTGAATTAAATTTTTTCTTATCTGCCTTGCAGGTCATCAGTTTTGAGACAAAGAGAATAGACCCAACAGCTTCATGATAACAGCTAGCCAATCCTGAATCATAACACAGTGTACAGTACAAGAAGTTCAGGAATGACTTTGGGCAGATTATTTATTGAAAAATAAGTGTGTAATAATAAACTGTGCAATGACTCCAGTTACTGAGTCTGACTTAATTTGTACAACTTTGAGATAGCCAAGGCAGAGCTAACTTGGTGTGAAATCTTGGCTTGTTGCATTTTTTTTTTAATTTATTTATTTATTTATTTATTTTTTTGGGGGGGGGATAAATAGGAGTTAAAAAATAAAAAAAACATAAAAGACTTATTGTGGGCGTTGGTTTATTGTTTCAAATTAAGTTGTAAATAACATTGGAAAAGTGCATATCATGATGATCCACACACTTTGTGACAGTTATTTGTGATAATCATTTTAACTCTGTTGTGCAAGTTGTAATTACATCAAAGGACCATGACTTCGTTAGTTTATTATCATAGAAATACAAGGTTACAATTTACCATGGCAGGATCGGCCTTAATTCAGGACGCATCTTGAGTAAGAAATATTTGGCAAACATAAATATACAAGATTGTACTCAAATAATTCGAAACAATTTCCGAACCCCACCGTAATCGCCTTTAGTTTATTCACATGCACACTTTCTCTTTTAGACCGTGCCACACGTACAATGACCTGGGTACATGTCACTGTTAGAAGTCAAAAATTTAGCCTGATCTGTTGTTATCAGTATCGATATTTGCACAACTTGCAGGCTAAAACTGATAACGACCACAACCATACACAACAAGTAACTCGTGATATTGTCGACATACAGTACGTTATTCTCGCCTTGGTTTTGCAAGCACAAAGACAATGTGATTTGAAGACACGGGTCACCAGAGAATCACGTGGGGATTTGATCTTGTTAAGTCATATCTTTGTACGGTACATACTAAAAATGTCTGAAGAACGGACCGCGAGTGTTTCCAGCGAGCAAGGTGCTGAGCCCCAGGGGAAAATGTCACTGCCCGTCGGGTGGGAGGCTAGAGTGTGTGCGAACGGACGGGTATATTACGTAAAGTATGGTCTATTTTATTTTGACTTTCTTCAAGTAAACGTAATTTGAGTAAACAAATGTCTGGAAGTCTTTGTAAGACAACGATTTGCGATTTTTAAAAGAAATTCAGCTCTTAGTACTTGTAGAACCCGTTCGTTAACATAAGATTTCTCGGGATTTTTCATTCAGTGTCTTCTATTTCAGCACGAAAGCGCGCACTACTCAGTGGGAACACCCTCTAACCGGAGAAATATCTAAAATTGGTAAGATTGTTGGGGGAGGATCCCAGAAAGAAGGGAGTGGGGTGTTAATGTTAAAAGACAGATAAGAATACTTGCCGTTGTTGATTTTGCGTTCATAATATGCCAGGCAGATCGAGGCAAATTTATTTATTTATTTATTTATTTATTTATTTATTTATTTATTATTATTATTATTTATTTATTATTATTTTTTTTTTTTGGTGATGCTTTCATAGCTTTTATATGGTATTCCTCACGGCTGTGTTTTTCGCCCTCTGAAATTTCATGTTTACATGATACCAATTGGGACAATTCTGCTTTATCATGAGTTAGCCCCCATTCAGATTGAGAAGAGCCGAGTGCTAGCTAGGCCACGACCTAAATATGGCGGACCTACATGAAAGGAAGACCACTAAGTCCTGTAATGGTCTATCCGCCTCTCACACGCCTCCCCACGCGTCGAATCTCGACCGGTTGAATTGTGCCCCTGAATAACAGGTGACTTATGTGGCAAAAATTGATGCTAAACTCACATCAGCAATTTTTTCACAACTATCATTTAGGTCGATAAAATGGCAATTTTCAAAATGACAGACAAAACTCCCTAACAAGAGTGTCATCGACAATTAAAGGTAACATAGTTTGTAATATGCATTGTCTTATGTTTTTAGGGCTGTAAAGCTAGTTCATTACTCCGTAAAACGATATAATAGTTTCATTAGTAATAACCCCAAATGGTGCTCAACAATAGCTCAGTGTAACATATTGGGAGGTCATGGTCATTACTGATAACACCAATACAGCGAGGTCAGATTTGTGGAATCAAACCAGTATCGATAGCGGGGTATGAATACAATGCATTTGATGGGGCACGGTATGATTGGCCATAGGACTTAGATTCGGTGGTAATCTAGGCCGATGGCTCTCTGATTTAGATTATGTCCAAGCTGCATTTTGTTTTTTAAAACGATTGCAGAAAAATGTTGAATTTGTTGAATTCATGTTAAACTGAAATTGTTGAATTTATATGAAAATATGAAATCAACAATTAATTTAAATTGCGAGAAAGAGACAAAGAGGCCGACAACAAGATATTCAAGTCCACGTATATTAATATGATTATAATCTCCTTTGTTTAACATCTACCATTGATGAGTTTGAAATGTTTTCGGACTTGATCCTTCTGCTTCACTCTTGTTTCTGTTTAAAGCTCATTTGTGATGCGAATATGGTCGTCAAATAGCGCGGTCTGGACCTAACATTAACTGTTTTTTTTTCTCGTTTTCAGAGGGCACTGATGCCCAGCTTCAAACAGGAGACGGGAATGACAACAAAATTGAGTACGTGTTATCTTCTCTTTAAATATAACAGGTCCAACTTAGCTTTTTATGTATTCAGTTTATTGTGTAACTTTATCGTTATGATTTAAAGTTGTGTATAATTTTCACAAGTTTCCACGCATATTTTTTTCACAATTTAAAAAATTCGGTCATTCACCCGTTCATTAATTTTTTTGCGTCGTTACATGTACGAAACAAATGAATGTTCACCAAATTAATTTCCCACAAGACTCGTCATTTACACGCGAAATTTAAAGCACACCAAGTACAGTGCCTATATTAATGCGTTGTAGTGAACAGACGCTGTCGTCTGCTGTGGTAGAGGGAAAGGGGAACGTGGACATCATCTCCAAATTTAACTCCTATTCCACGGCTCTGGAGGTCATGGCGGGGAAAGATTTGACGGGGAAATACGCCATAGTTACTGGGTCCAACTGTGGAATTGGTAAGTTCTGACTTTGAAATGAGGAACCGTAAAGTCAACTGGCATGGCCTAAGGTTTTGTAAAGATCTTTAACATCGGGTTTATCATATATTCGACGGAATGCCTGTAAAACCTATGATTGTTTTAACGCTATATTCTTAACGTGGATTGTAACAGAATAATAGATTCCGTTAATCTATCCCAAGATTTACATACCTGATTCCTTGAACTGTATAAGATCGTGTCTCCAAATAAGTACGGAATTTTACACTTTTATCTGTCTTAATGCCTTCTAATACTACCCTAGGGTACGAGACCGCACGCGCTCTCGCGCTGCACGGAGCGCACGTAGTGATGGCCTGCAGAAGCGTGGACCGCGGCGAGGAAAGTGCCAACAAGATCCGGGCCGAGAAAGACTCGGTAAAAATCCGTGTTATGCAGCTTGAGCTAGCATCACTGAAGAGCGTTAAAGCTTTTGGGGAAGAGTACAAGAAGACAAATTGGTAAGATGCGTTGCAGTTTACAACTTTTGATTATTTCTATCACTATGTAACTGTACCTTTTTGCTAGTATTTTCGGTTTAATAACGATGTTTGAGAATATGAAGAAGCAACAATGGAAACCTTAAATCTGTGCGCAGAGAAAGACCATTCAAGAAACGAGTCGATTTTTATGCAGAGTGTTACCAGTAAAATTAAAACTGGTGCTGAAAGGAGTGAAATGGTAAAAGAAAAAAATTAAAATAAATAAAATAAAATAAACAAGCGGTTTCACACCCAGCAGTTTTTTAAATGCAGGTCTTAACGGGGACTTGTCCAGCAACAGCACTCTTGAATCCTGTAGGCCTACGTATCAGATGACCGAAATTTCGAAAAGCCACATTTATCAATTATAATTCAATTTCAGGCCCATCCATATATTGATACTAAATGCCGGCATAGCGTCCGTGCCGTTCTCTCTGACGGAGGACGGATTAGAGAGCACCTTCCAAGTGAACCACCTGGGTCACTTCTACCTCACCTTGCTTTTAGAGGAGGTGTTAAGACGGTCGAGTCCCGCCCGCGTGGTCTCGGTGTCTTCCAGAGGGCTGCAGTGAGTACCGTGTGTCCAGGATCTTTATAAAGATTTAGACTTTAAGTTGTTTCTCCGTTTTTCTTGACTTGTAGGCTACGCGCGGTAGAATTCATGTACCAGAATAAAGGCGCAAGGGAATATTGCCTTTGTTTTATTGAATTTTTTTAAAACATCGTCTCAAGTGAATGTTATGTAACTCATAATGTTATTATTAAATAATAATCTTGCGTTTATGAAATTCTGGACATCCAGCGGGTTGCAAACTTTGGAAATTTTAATGTTAGTAGGCCTATTCATGTCAAATTTCTTGATGTGATCCATGATCTTAGTAAATGTAAAAGTTTGTGTGTCGTTTTTCAGACTGTCCGATTTGAAAATGAGCAACGTGTCGGAAAGTAAACTGTCCAGTCCCGATGCATCAAGTCATTCACGGTTTTCGACGTATAACAAGACAAAGCTTTGCAACTTGCTTTTTGCAAAGGAGTTGAACTTGAAGCTGGCTCGTCATGGCGTAACTGCAAACGTACTGCACCCTGGCGGTTTTATATCCACCAATATTCAACGACATTGGTGGTTATCCAAGGTTTTGTTTGTAATGACGAAACCGTTTACGAAAACTGTTGTACGTATAACATTAAAATATCAAACATAAACTTACTTGCTTAAACGAATTAATATTAAACTGAATTCGGCAGGTTCGACCCCGGCTGTTTTTCCTGCTGATAATCCCAAAGGCCTATATCCTGATATTTAAATTTGGGTAATGGACGTCGATTCCTGCGGTATATATGTAAAATTTAGCCGGGAAACGTCTGTATTTTTTATATACCACGTTCATTCCTTCAAGTTAACAAAACAACGGCTGCTTAAAAGTTGCACGTTTTAAGATGTTACCCCCATTTACCTTCCCGCATTGAAAACAAAATTTAATCCCTGTAGTTTATTTATGCTATTATGTACTGTAGGCCTATCAAATAACAGAATATGTTGTATAGCCCTTTCCCATTTTTGTTTCAGGAGCAGGGTGCGGCGACCAGTGCGTATTGCGCCGTTGCAGAAGAGTTAGAGGGTCGGGGAGGTTTCTACTTTGATAACTGCCAGGCAGCACAGCCCAAGTCAGAGGCCGCTGTCGATCCAGAACTGGCGAGAGAAGTTTGGAAGTTATCGGAGAAAATGTTGAACGATCGTGGTCACAGTGTATAAGTATTGTGACCTGAAGTTTGAAATGACGCATGAAAAGTAATAAATGCAAAACAATCAAGAAAACTTGAAACAGAAATAGATAAAACCAGAGGCGCCCGCTGACGTTAAAAAATGGAATCACAGTTCGCTTCCAACAATACATAAATTTTTACTTTATTTTGAAAACTTAGTCTAGGTTACATTGGCAGTACCAAATGTCAGTTTGGTGCCCGTATACTTACCGCATACGTAATTTATTCACTTTTCTTCTTCGGAGATATTCTAAAAATATTTGATAAGTTCGCATCTAATATTATATGTCGTTTTCTATCATAAAAATAAATTATGGCAGAGCCGTTCTTGTATTTTCATTGGGATATGAAGCGCTAGTTCAATTAAGGTCCAGCTGATTGTCTCCTAAAAACAAGCATGGATGCGTCCTTGCTCCGTGCCTTTTAGGACATTTAATTAAAATTATCTCATTTTTATCATCATGCCGACCATTCGTCCCCTAGTGTAGGGGAGACCGGGGCTAGTTGGCCCAGTTAGACACTTTTGGCCTTGTAGAGCCAACTTGGAGCCCTTTTTTGGCACTTGCAGTTTAATGTGAAAAAAATTTCAAGATCAATTTCAAAATCATGAAAGTTAAATAAATCTTAATGGCTTTCGCGCGTTTTTTTTTTTTTTCATCACCATGTTGCGACTCGCGACTACGCTTTTTTTTTTTTAATTTAGTCATTCAAGCTGTTAAATTGCTCTAAGCGATATATGCAAAAGTAAACCCATAATTCAAATAAATTCACTATTTACAAATATATGGGATACAGATGTTGGCGAGATGTAGGCCTACATGTATACGCTGCTTGTCAGGTTTGTGAAAGTTATTACCAATGACCTTTGAAGCACGGGCTAAAAAGGGAAAACTACCATGATGTCGAGCAAGCAAACCAAATGAAACCAAACTGCAAATGAAGAAATTAGCATATAATCGATGTTTCTTCTTATAAACTACCCATATTGATCAGTAAGAAGAATGCGACTTGTACTGTAATGAACCGTCTATGAGGAGGCCTGGCTCGAATTGCGTTAGGTGAGATTCGAATTTTGGCCAATCAAATTAAAGGACATCATTTCTGCGGCTGTACAAAGGGTGTACTGGTTCGAGGTAAAAATAATTAAAAATTAGCTTCAAAATACTAAATATAAGAATGATACGTTATAATGGTGATAGTTGACTTATTTTATAGTTTCAATTTGTATTAGATATGCGTTAATATGTCAGAAATATGTGTCGTTTGGTTGGGTTAAGAAGGTTTTTCTAACTCGTATATCGGGTAGAGGATAAAGCTTTGGCAAATCTCTGGCGGCAATATTTATGAACTACGTTTGTGTGCACTTCTTCATTTCAATAATATACGGCATATGGTGTCATTTAAGTATCACGGGGCGTGTGCTCGAAATATGTACATTTAAAATTTGACATCTTAACTTTAACCTACAACTGTCGTCGGTTTTGGTCATTCTTATACATTTTGATTTTGAAAGAACTTGAGAGCTCGATAGGGACAGTCGGGCTTACGTCACGCGCCTTAGCAACCGGCATCTGGGGTAAAACAAATCGGGCAACATGGCGGATCGCATTGACTTCTATGTAAAAGTTGGCAGACTTTGTCCGAAGATATCATACTCCACAGTGCCTGACCACTTGTGTCAGTGAGGATGAGTTATTTACCTGGTCGATTTCCTTTACAGGCCTTTGTAATTAGCCGCTGCACACCTGGTTAAGAGATAAAATCGGCCTTAATATAACTGCCGATCGTTATCTGTGATCGGGAATTTTACAGCAGAAGATTTTGAAAAGGCAGTGCTTGACCTTTTGTGTCTGGCGGGTTGAATCATATACCTGGACTAATGAGTTAGCAGGCCTTTGTAATAAGCTACTGTGTAACTTAATTGTTACGGGATAAAATTGGTCTTAACTGCATACGCAAATGTCCACCCTAAGTATATACATGTAGCCTACATAAGTTGGTGAAATAGGAATGGCTTCTTAGAACCTGGATCGTAAGAAAGGCCTAGAAATTGTGCAACACTGAGAAGTTATTAGAATAAGATTTCTACAAATTGTGATTAAATCACCTGCCAGGGGAACGGGAAAGGGGCAATGTCATCCGTCCCATGGCCTCTTTGGTCTGTATACACAGTACATGAAGATTAATGCAAGCCTGGAAGGACAGCATAAACAGTTGCTTTCTAACTTTTTGGAAGAGAAGACACGTGGTGTTTCCTGTATTAATATTGGCAGCTACGCGTCTGTGAGTGTTTACAATCTTATTGTGCACTTTTCTGGTACGAAAATTGGCGAAATGTCATGGAAGACAGAACGCTAAGTTTCAAAACGTGCAAGGTTAAAATTAAATTGAATAACAAACACGGTAATAAAGCTGTATGTTATTTTACCAGTTAAGGTCGCTTTATTTATGGCAACTTTTTTATTTTACTTGATAACTTAAAGATTTAGACTTTAACTCACAGGTTTGTCAATATATTGACGTACATATTTTTTCTTATCTTTAAACTCAATTAACTTACAGCAAAAAAGTTCGACGTTATAGTCCATTAATTTTAACTAAATGAATTGATATACCGTCACACATGCCAAAACAAGATGCAATCTCAATTTCTTGTAAATATTACTTATTAATTCCTGTAACAAATGACAAACATAAATACCAAACAAGGTACAATGACTTTCTCCTTATCTATAATAAAATGAACTATACACACATACTCAGTACACAAATCTCGTAGTGCATGTAGGGCCTACATGTANGCTTGCGACAGGTCATTAATAATTATTAACTTGTCCAATGAAACGATCATCAACATTTCCGAAACGATCAACAACATTTCCAACCGGCACAGTGAGTGCCAAATAACCGTGCCGTGTGGAAAATTATTAATCGTGCCGGGGAGAATAAGATCGTGCCGGGTGGAAAATTTCCGGAAAAAAAATAAACGTGCCGGCACGTTTATTTGGCACTTCAGAGTAATTAACTTTCTTGCCCCCTCGGCTGACAGCTATTTAGCGTGAACCCCCAGGGAGTTAAGTCCATCTAGTTTGGATCGATCTAATCTCTGGTAATGGGGTCTAACTGAGACCCAGAAGATGGCCTCCATCCACCCTAATCACTCTCATCTTGGTTTTCCAGGTTGTCACCTCTTACAGATGCAAGTTTTGCCCTTTCATAGCTCACAGTCCACAAGGCATGGGACACCACGTGAGGACAGCTCACATGAAATTACCTTCTCAGCAACAACAACAACAACAACAACAACAAACTGAGAGCATGGACGTAGAAGAAGTCGATGTCAATGTCCAAATGTTACAGCAACAACAGCAAGATCAACAACAACAGTATCAGCATGAGCAACAGCAACAACAAGTTAGCAGTATGAATGTTGAGCTTTTACAACAGCAACAAGATCAACAACAGCTAGATGACATTAACACTCAACTCTTACAGCAACGTCAATCAGGACTGTTACAGTACCAGCCACAACAACAGACAGGGAGTGGGGGAGAGACAGGGACCAGTGAGGTAGAGGTACAGGTGGAAGACGAGCAGACGGGGACGTCCCACATAGTTGAGCAGGCTATGGCGGCGGCTGGTATGTAATAATGGATTGTGGGCAGTGAAGTGTTAAGGCCTGTAGGCAGGGGTTTTGAACAAAATATTCTTATATGGTCTGCTCTGAATGGAACTTAAATCTTTGCCTTTTCTGAAGTTTGATCATTGGAGGGGGTGTTTTCTTTTGCTAAAATTAGCCCTCATAATTTTGATTTTATTTAATTTATGGGAACTTACGCTAGTACATTTGTACTATGCTATTTCACAACAACACATGCTTTTACCTGACTTCTAAAATTATTTTGCCAATTTTTCCTTCCATTATTTCTCTTGATCCAGTTAAGATGAGGTACAGTTGCTTTTTTTCTTCCTCTTGTGCTTTGGTTCAGTTGAAGTATGAAGATCATAGAGGGGAAAAATTTCGGAACAGAGCCTGAATTGCAAAAGAAAGTACAGATCTATCTTGCACTGGCAAAGTAACTCACTTTTCATATTGGATACCATGTACAGTTTTCAATACTAACGGTAAGTTTTTTTTTTTTTTTTTTCACATTTCAGTGGGAAAAAGTGTTCTTGAAGGGAGCTCAGAGGAGGAAGGAAGACAATTAGAAGACCAACAACCTTCCGCACTTCACGCTTCACTTCTCACAAACTTCGCTGAGGCCAGTATGGCAGAACTTGCAGCGACTGGAGAAGCTGGAACTTCTGAGTCTCCACTCACTAAAGAGCTCTTCCTGTGCGGCCAGTGTAGTCTGGGATTTGGCTCCATAGAGGAATGTAAAACTCACATGGTATGTTGGCTGGGGACACTGGTTTTACTATCTTAGCCCTGTGTTAATGATAAAATGGTAAATTAAATATAGAAAAATTAGTCACAGATTTATTTTCTTAAAATCAGTAATGGTATTTTTTTTCGGTAAATTATTATCTGCCTTTTATGAAACACAAACATTCTATCAGGTTTTAACAGACCATAAGATATATTGATGCTGGCTTCATTAGATAGATGATTACCCTCACATACTTATGGTATTCTCCCCATTTCTTATAACATAATAAATAAACTTTTTGACCAAAAAATACTCCGATTTTTAAAAATGGCCATTTTAGGTCCAGGACCACAATAACTTCCACGCAAGCGTTCCAGGGTCATCCGGCTCTCAAACCAGTGAGACTGGAGTGGGCACCAATAGAGTGGACGCGTCCACTCAGGTCCAGAGGAAGAAGCCAGGACGTAAGAAGAAAGCACCCGAAGCTTACACGGCATCCATGGTGAAGGAGGAGCCAAAGTCTGAGCGGGATTTAGAGTCTGGTAGGTTCGGTACATAATGACTTCTGACAATAAATATTTTTTTAAGCGTGGTAGTTTTTATCCCTTTGGTGTATCTTTTTTATTTCAACCTTTAAGCCTAATTTATAAATATTTCAGTGGTAAGGTGTTTATGACACACATTGACACAGTTTTTGAGGATTTATTGTGACTGGATGCTTATAATCTACTTTTCAGCATATCTTTTAAGTAAAAGTCAAAATACCTGAAAACCTTATTATTTCAGGCCTTAGTGCAATGAATAGACTTTTCTTTCTTTTCGTTAAAGCTTTCAGGACTTTATTTATATTAAATTGAAGGTAACACCAAAATCATCACACATAATTCCTCTTTCAACCCAACTTATTTCTGTTGGAGAAAATAAATTATGCCAAAATTTCATAGCC